TGAGTCAAAATTTATGTTATTCGGATCAAATGGTCGTGAATATTGTTGGAAATATAAAAATGAACCTCTTAATGACCATCTTGTAAAACTTACAGTTAAATTTGGTGGTGGTAGTATTATGATTTGGGGTTGTTTTTCTTCTTTTGGGGTTGGAAATATCGTGCGAATTTATGGTACCATGAATCAAGAATTATTTCGGATGACTTATTGGGAACCATCGAGTACAATGAATTTGATAAAAATAATATGCAAGATAATGATCCGAAACATGTGGCTAATAAAACGATGGAATGGTTTGATGATAATAGAATTAATGTAATGGAATGGCCGCCTCAATCCCCCCGATTTAAATCCAATTGAACATCTCTGGAATGAGGTAGAAAGGCGTCTGAAACAATTGGACATCCCAATCAATAATCAAGATCAACTGTGGGACGCTATTCAACCTAGTATACCCTCCTTTAGCATTAATTACATCATCCATTCGCTCGGGCATATTTCAAATAGCCGAGTTATAAATTCATTATCCAAATTTGTGGTAAAGAATGTTTTGTTTAAATTTTATTTGTTAGTTAGTTGGCAATAGTATTTTAATTTTTCTGTTTTAAATCAATCATTACGTAAAATCGCGTAAATCTCTTTTTTGTTATTACGATAATAATTACCTATCGCTACAAGATTATCCCCGTATGTTTTTTAAGATTCGCCGATTATCGTTATGTATATTTAAAATTTATGATCTTCAATGTATGTGCGCAAAGTTATTAAACTTTTAAATTTGAAAAGCGTGGGAAGAAAATTTTTAATCAAAATGGTCTTTGCACTTTAAGTCGTCCGCAGTTGGGAATCATATGTCTAGAAATATAATTCATGAGCTTTAAAATGATATAAAATTTAGAAATAATTACTAGAAAAAATATGAATATGTATATAGCTCGAAAATTTCCATTTTTTATATGTTTTACTATATCATTTTGAAGCGGGCGATACTTTGTGGGCACTGTACATGTACAAAAACGTCAATACATGTATAATATACAGTTAATTATCTTCTATGAAAAAGAAAACAAAAGCTTCAATAGTCAGAGCACAAATATTTTCAACACGAACTAAATAAAACAATTAGAATTTATTGCATAAGCGATAAATAAAATAAGGTATTTTAAAAAGCTTTAAATTTCTACTCGTAATCTCTTTGCAGGATCTAGGAATTTATTTTTAGGTCAATTAATAAATGTTAACATAACTATAACACCGTGCAAAATTAAATTTACCATTTTCAATTTCATCAGTTTCATCTTCTTCATCCGTTGCTGGTAATGAAACCACTATTTCATACCCACAATCAGTTTCTTTATTCTCTAAGTGTTCCTCATTAGTTATCACAATTTGAACTTCCATTTCCTCGAGAATATCTTTATCTCCATTTTCTGTTTTTGATTCCCCTTCATCACCTGAATATTCATTTTCTTCTTCACTTAAATCAGTCATTGATGACTTTGATTTTTTGTCGTCCTCGGATGTTTCTTTCTCGGACTCAGTTTCCTCCTCCCCTGAATCCCCTGAGTTTGATTCTTCAATAAACCCCGGATAAAAAATTTGATTTTTTGCAAATTCATGTTCTATTCCTGACTGATGAATTTTTTTAATGCAGAAAAAAAAATTATTTTGATTTAATGATTGATTATTAAAGAATTTTAAATTAAAAAAATTAATTACCAATACAGCCTTTTCTTTTTGCTGTTGCCTTTGTCGTAAATACCTTCGTTTATTCATTAAAATCGAATGCACTAATACATCTACTACCCACGAATCACGGCTATTAAAGAGTGCTGGATAGGAAGAGAATATCTGAATTAAAAGTAAAAATAAATTGAAAATTTCTAAGAAAAATGTGCAAATATCATACTGAAGAAATAAAAAGAAAGAAACCATTTTTTTGCAATTCTTGAGCGTTTTTGGATTTTGGGAATCTATATTAAGCTCAGGATTCAAAAAACTTGAAACAGCCAAGTTTCCCAATTCCTATAAGTTGTAAGGGCATTAATAGAAGAATCTTCAAAAAGATCATGAAGAATTGATGCCTAAAAATTAATCGCTCACTCTGAATCTATTATATTGAACTCTATTAAAAGTTAAACATTTCTCTAAATTTACATAACGTGTTTTTGGTCTGGCTGTGACCTTTACCAAAGATTTTTTATTGCCAATAGGCAAAGCGGCTGAAGAAATTGATGAGAAGTTAGATGAAGAAGCTGCAAATTTAGGCGCAATGGTCTTATGAGCTCGTTTCTTAGTTTTTGTCGAAGTGCTTTGGTCTTTCACAAACATATCATCGTATCTTATAATTACTCCATTTTTCGCGATATCCACATTGTCGTCGTCTTCCAAAAGGTGATGTGGTTTAGATGCCATTTTATCTAATAAAACAAAATTATATTGATGTCAAAAGAGAAAACGGAGGCGAAAAATGGGGAAGAAGCCAAGTAATTTTTTTTCTAATGAATCATTCTTTATTTAATAAACTATAGCTGTTACGTGTTATACTATTATGTTTTTCAATTCAAAAATAAAAACATATGTATTGAATTTATTGAATTTAAATCATATCATGCAAGCTTATTAGATTGATCATGCACATAATACCATAATACACATGACCTTTCAGATATGATCGCTATTGACAGAGAAAACTGCGACATGTATTACACCAGCATCATGTTGTAGTCCACAATTGAAAAGAAAACAAAACTAAACTAGTACAAAAATTCTACGAATAGGCTCACCAAATATACGCATTAACGCGTTTGAACTGATAAATTATACTACACAGCTAACCTGTTGCATGAAGTTGATTGCTGAATAAAAACGGATGAACTGCTTTTCTGTGATAAACGACTTGTTGTTTGTTACAACTCTTCCAGCCACCGTGGAAGTTAGAAGAATATTGAAACGAATGGAGGTTGAAAATACCACGATGTTATTTTCATGCTAATTGTTGAGATATCGCATATTTTTTTAATTCGCGTCATAATATCATTTTAAAGTATCATACTTTTAACTGCGTTATAATACCATCATTTACTTCTTGTTTCTAATACAATTCTTTAAGTTGAAAATCTTTTATTTATGGGCAAAGATTCGTCGACTTTGTAAAATTTTAAGTAGTCGCGAGTCAAATCGATGCTCTACATGTATTTTTTCACACCATTCTTTTTAAAAAAAAGAAGTCAAGTACGTGTACATTATAAAAATTTTTCCGCTATTGTTTTCCGTGAGGACTGTTTTTGATTGTTTCGTACAGTACATGTGAACAATGAAAATTCTACCATAAATTATGTTGGTGTATTATCGTTATCGTTTTATCGGTATATTTGTGATACCTGAGTACTAACGCATTATAAATTATGAAAATGGATTTTCCCGATAATGAAAATTTGATTATAGTGTTTCATTAAATTTTCTGGATTCTGTTACACTTGATAGAGTTGAACGTGAGTTCATACAAATATTTTTCTATATAATGTATCGGTATATTTAATGTGGGCTACTTAAATTGTCAAAAATAGTATCGGTATTCTAATAATGATAGTGAATAAAAAACAAAATTGCTTACTCGTAAATTCAGTATAATAAAATACCGTCATGTTTAAAATAATTTTTCACCAAATATCTATGAATGAATTAAAAAAAAACAGTAAAAATATAAGAAAATCTCATTAGTTAAAATATTAGCAACGGATTTTTCGGGCAAAAATTTCGGATGAAGCTATGGAAACTCAATGAAAATCTTCAAATTGTCGCTGAATTTAGTAAAAATCGAATCCTATAATTTTGCCAAACAAGCTCAAAGTTTAACAACTGAAAATTGACTTCTTGAGCAAGACGGAAATTAAAACCTCCTCGTATATAAAATTGTTGAGAATTCTCATGTTAAGTATTGGCAATTACATGTACCGTAAAACCGCGAAATAACGAACATGGCGTTATTTCAAATCTAAAAATAACATATGTAGTCTCGAAATAACGTCCATGGACGTCCCGAAATAGCGTGCACCCATTATATATAACCTTGGTAACTTGATAAATTGCATTCTTTAATCTTGACACAGTCTCAAACTCTTTTCTTGTTGTCCTCATCCTTGAACCTGATTCCGATCGATTTTGTAATATAAAGAAGCATGATGGTTGGATATAGCTTCTGTCTATGAAATCGCCTCAGATTTAAATGCGATAGTATAACTCGTTTATGCTCATGTTCACTTGTAAGTAAAGCAAAAAACTTGCACGCGAAACAACAAAAAATAACGATTACATTTTTATTATGGATGTTCGTCGTATAATACAAGAAAAAAGAGATACCTAACGAAATTGTAAGGCAAACAACAGAAATACAAGGGAAAAAATAAGTAATAAATAAAAAAATGAAAAACGCTCATATTTCAAAAAGAAGTATATATACGATTTTTATGTACACCACACATTGTACTGTGTGGTTACTGATGATCGCAACAACTATTCTGTTACGTAGTTATTTTACGAGCAATTTAAAGAACGCTATTTAAATGTTATATATTATCTAACTAAATTCCAGATAAAGTATAATATTGCTTAAGTTTAAGGTTCAATTCTGATATAGTCTGTCTCATTGAAATTATTTCATTCTCATACTTAGTATTCATTGAGACGAGTTCGTTCTCAAGAGTAACAAGGCGATTTTGCATATTCATGAGTTCGGAATCAACGTTGATATCAACATATGGATTGTTAAAAGAAATCTCAACATTCCCAGTTATTAAAGGATTAATTTCTATTCCCTCGACAATTCCGTTTTGTTGATTATCGGTCAAGTCATCATTTTCGATTGTTGCTTGAACGCCATCATACCCATTTTCTGATTGATTATCGATTAAGGCATCACTTTCGGTTGCTGCATGAACTTCCTCATACGCATTTTCTGGCTGACATCTACCGTGATTCTTAGTAGCCAAATAAATTTCTTGAGCCTGTTTGGCGAAGTTATGATATGTTTTTTTAACATATTGAGGTTCTAGCTTCCAAGCTTGACTCGCCATGGAAGAAATTCTTGGCTGAGATAACCTTCCATTGTTCAAGATTTCGCGACAATAGTTAATTCGATAAATTATAAATGCATTTGGAGCTTTAGTAGGCTTTTTTTGTTTGCGATTCAAAGGTTTTATTAATTGATTTAAAGAGATGTTTGGTGGAAACGAAGGAAAAAATAAATTCGACATAATGATTCGATTATATTTTGTCTAAAGATCTTTTTCTCAAAGAATGTGCTTTATTTATATATATTTTGCTATAGTATGTAAATTATTTGAATCTTAATAGATTTTATTATTTAACTATTGTAGAATTTTATACCTATTTTGGGTTTCGAAAAAAAAAGCTCCGAAGATATATCGGGCGCACGAATAATGAAACATAGATAAATGTTTTGTTTGCATAAAAAAATGGTCACGCGTCATGATAAATATGCAAAGTATGTATTCCCTAATTTGGTGATCATGATAAATATGGAAAGTGCGTATTATGGAAAGTGCGTATTCCTAAGTAATTTGGTGATCGATCTTTTTAGATTTTTACCGTAACATCTACGCGTTATTTCGAGTACGCCCATGTGCGTTATTTCGAGAGAGAAAAGGTCGATTTTCTGCTAAAACTGCTTTTTTAGATACCGGTTATGTACTAATTGTTTTCTTTTTTTACTAATTAATCTTGAATGGTAAACTGTAACGTACCCTGGGTATTCTATGCAGTGAATTAACTGTATACTCGTCTTATAATATCGATATACATGTATACAAGTACAGTGATTTTTTTTATTGCCCGTGAATGTTAGGAAACTCGGGGTATTTGGTACGAATTTATGTCAAGTCTTATAAATAATACATGTTAATTGGCCACTATATGTACTAACTACACATAATATAAATTGTATAGTTCTGATTGGTATGCTACTATAATACATATACCATTATAGCGATATACAACACAGCAATGAAACTAGTTTTTGAGAACCATTGAATTAATATCGGTATATACATGTACATGAATATTAAAAATCACCTCATTATAAGAACCACCGGTTCGTTATAGAAAGAATCGACTCTTAATTTAAAATTTACTTTGGAATTTTAGGTTTTTCTTGATCTTTGTGTTTGTTTTGGATTATGAAAATACAACCAATTGTAATTAATAAGTATTGCTCTTACAGTGGCCTCCCAGAATATTGTGGACACATTTTAAAATACAATAACATAAAAACCAATAAAAAAACCAGATT